TGATATTTGATTAGAATGACTGAGTGGGATTGCAAGCCGAAAATGTACTAGTTGATCAGTATGCAGGTTATTTGAGCCAAGCGGTTCGGATTAACAGTTAGTTATACGAAAGTATGACTAAAAATGAGTAAACGGATTTCGGTATGATTCAAGTTGCGTTATCGCAATTAGATTCCAAGCTGCATAGGTAAGTTACCAATCCGGAAAAGCACCAAACGCGCGTTTCGCCCTATTGGGGCTTGTCAGTGGTGCGCATCCATCGGTCCCCTACTGGGGATCGAACCCATGACTGCTAGAGGCTAAGGCCAGCTAGCCAGCAGCTTATATCACTGAGGCATGGGGGACGACAGCCGACCAGTACGAATTGAAACCTAACTGCGATATAGTCCGACCCATCCTCCACTGCTGTGCAGGTTATTAACCATGCAGAGGACAGTGGTTGACCGTCACGGTCAGGTCTTCCCTTGCCAGCATTCAAAATTGCTGTGTGGATTCACGGCACTGGCAAGGGAAGGCCTGATCTTGACGGCCAACCACTATCCTCTGCACACAACAACCCGCACTGCAGTGGAGGATGGGTGGGGCTGTATCGCAGTTAGGTTTCAATTCGTAATGGTCGACTGTCGTCCCCCATACCTCAGTGACATAAGCTGCTGGCTAGCTGGCCTTAGCCCCTAGCAGTCATGGGTCCGATCCCCAGTAGGGGACCGATGGATGCGCACCGCTGACGAGCCCCAATAGGGCGAAACGCGCGTCTGGTGCTTTTCCGGATAAGTAGCTTATCTATTCCGCTTGGAATCTAATTGCGATTAGCCGACTTGAAACAATTATGATTGCCTATGGTTATCAGCTAGACAAGTTCATCGGTGGTCTGTTTAACAGCTTGCGTGTTGGTGTCTGGTGAAAGTGTTGGACAATGGCCCATTCAGAGGGCTGAAAAGCCAAACGCACTTTTTGTGGCGAATTACAACTCTAGCTGATAATCACTATGCTGGAGGCGATCAACAGTGTGAAGTAGTTTCCAATTTTTTTGTCTCAGTTACCGGCATCGTAGATACCGAGAAGTATAGACAAGTCCAGCCATTCGCATATGAAGCTGTCTAACCTCTATAGAGCATAATTTGCAGACTGCATATCTTGACAAACCGAGTTCCCGTTTAATTGGAATGGTATTTAGACCCACATAATATTTTACAAATGAACAGCTTTATCGGCCAAATTTTCTCACTGCAGTGCCCGTAACAAAATAATACCATCTTTTATTGGCAAATAGCATGCTCCACGCAGAAAAATTCCCCGTTTCGCTTGACAAATTACTAGGCTGTCAGAACAGAAACAAAACGCTGCAATTGTGCTTTCGAATACAGCCAATAAGTCTATTAAACCAGCGGTCTGGAGATTTCTTCCGGTTTACCCGAGTTCTTCGGGGTAAAATTACGCTCACAGTTGCATTTCGTTCTACACTTAGGCGATCGGTACAGAATACTGGACTACATGTTGCGTTTAAGTGTTTGAATGGAGCAAAATCTTTGCTTGGAGCCTAGGCTGACCTCCAACTTACGACCGCTTCATGTGCTGAACCTTTTTGTCCGTATAGCTAACCACACCATCTGTGTCGTATTTGATGACTAACAAAACCAGGAACCTTTCGTTGTACAAAATAGAAGCTTGCTAGCATCAATCTGCTTCTTAGAACTGCAAATTTGACTCCAACTAAAGAAACGAAGATTTCTATCCAATACAATCCCATCTTCTCAGTTCAGAAGCAACCAGATCCTGAAGCTTATTTTCAAATGTTTTACAGTGAAAGTTCCAAACCACCAATTGATAATGCCCAAATTGATCTGGAATATCTTTGAAACAGCAAACTACTGCATACAGGTTGTACTGCCTGATAGATATTACTTGAGTTTCCACAGTTTCAGTTTGTCTTTGGCGCTAAAAGTACGTTTGTGCCTAACCCATTGAATGAAACTAACGGTAGACGGCGGATAATCGAGACTTTTCGAGGATAGTCTTATCCCTTATCATTCAGCGGTAGGCCTAGCGTATCTCAGTCCATGGCGTCCCACCAAGATTTCAGCTCAAAATCCAATGGTGAATTGTTATTGTTATTAAGCCTCTGGTGTGCAAACGCATTTAAATGATCTTGTGGATGCAGCTAGCCATCTATAAGATTAACATCCCTCCACGCACCAAGGTCTCCATACATTTGTCTTAACGGATGATATCGCGGGTTTCGTATATGGAATAGCTAACTTTCTGTCCTTCGTTGTAATTTTCAAATGCTGACCATTGGAGCGCAGGATTTATGCTTGTTCCATTAGGTCAACCGTAAGTTTACAAGTATCTCACCATAGCAACCGTTCCTTTGTCAGTAGCTTGCCTCCTTCCTTTTTACACATTTAAGAACAAGGTGCACGCTATTGTCTATACATTTCCGGTCATGTCTTCTTCATACACAAGCTGAGCAAGATCGCAGATAACAGTTCCATCAGCGAATACACAAGTAATTTCCACTGCAAAACACTGTGCATTACGTACCTCTCTAACAGTATTTGTAGTGTGCCGGAAACACGTACTTTCAGTATTTTGCAACATTGGAGTTTACAGTTGTTTAACCTTTAAAACGTCCACTTGTCTTACTGACGGCACCTCCGTTGACACAAATCGTTTTGGTGAGTACCTTGCTGCACCGTTTCTCTCTCTGGTTGATTCGCTTCCTGCTTTTGTAGCCTGTACAATATACCTTGGGTTCAGTCGCCTCCAACTTCTATACTGTACCGTATTTGACACGTCTCTTACGTGGCATTGATTTTCGACTAGTTTCCCAGGCTCCAGCCAACAGATCCGTCGTATTTTCTTCCGGCTAGTTAAGTTGAATTTTGACTCTGCAGATTGGTGAAATGCTACCGTCTTTCGTCTACTTCATCATCGGAAGCTGCTAGAACTCAACTTATTAGTGACCCACTGTGCATTGTTCGTGACTGACGACACTTGACCTTTGGTGTTCAACAGAGGTCACTTGGTCATGTGACATAACTATGGTGACTGTGTTCGGCTAGTAATGACTTCATAAGATAGTCGGTATTTTATAGTATATTTCAGTTTACAACCTCAGAGTCGCTAAACTATCATGTAGGGAAACTGTTCTCTTGAATAGGTTCTTGATAAGTACAAGATAACGCAAGCACGATATGCGGTAAGGCAAACTGCTTTATCTAAAGAATCACTTATGGTTTTGATCGTTACTTGCCGAAAGTCTTCTTCCAAAGTTTTCAACTATCGTTTTCATCCATTAAGTGGTGATCTTACAAAAATGTTGTCATTTTTTCCACACTGTCACAATTTACTTTAATTTAATCTCGCACTTTGTTGCATTCTAAAAATCTCGGTTCTTACTTATATCAATGTAATCGTCGACTCAACGAAAGCCATCGACATGTGGCCGGAGCCGCTGTTGGGATGACTACTGAATATATATCTTATTGTGTAACTACTGAAAGTGCCTACAACCTATATTGACTTGACTTGATCAACGCATGTGGAAATAAGGCGGAAACAATCTACAACTTGGTTTGAGTGCATCTGAATGTAGGATGGGCTCTGAATATCTCTAATTTCTGTTCCATTCAAGACACTGCTACTTAGCCAGTTCGTACAGGAATTTTGGTTAACGCTCATCTAGCAGCGATCATTTGAAGACGGTATTCGCGTTATGGTTTTCATACCTTAAGGCATGTCAGTAAAAAAGTACACTTTTCAGTCTATGAATTTTATCAAAGATCACCGACCCGGTCACTCGTAATGCAGTGTGAATAGTTTACCACAGTGTTTAGATTTATTTTGTGACAAAATGCGAGAGCAATCCGTGTCACGGTAGGGGAGGGTCAGTGGCACAACCATAACTCTCCTTGTAGAGTTGCTAATAAAATATAACTAATCGACTTTAGACTTTTAGTTATTCATATGTACTTTAGGCTAGATTCCTTAGACGTATCTGGAGATTTGAAGCACTGAGTTCCTTGTATTAACTTGAATAGCTACCATTACTGGTGGGATAGATAGCGGTTTTCCGTACTTCAAGGTTGCTACTATCTGTGTTGTCTAGATTAGTTAGGATTTTGTGGAAATGAAAATTGCTCTCCAATGGTCTGGATCAAAACTGAGAATTTCCGATGGGAAGCCAGTGATCATGATATTACGGGGTTGATGAGCGCCCTATGAAATCTTATTTAATGAGGGCTGAACAATTCCCAGAGCTATTCTCTCTTTCTTACTTGGCTCCGAATGATAGTACAATACCCCAGAGTAGGCCTTACGATAATTTTGAATAGTTCAAGACGTGTTTCAAGCAAGGAGAAAAATCTAGTGATGTAGCCGGATAGCTGTCTGACATTCGCGATTTGGTCGAGTACATATGCCAGCCGGTTGTTCTGGGTTAATCCGGTTACAGTGAATGGTTCGGCGGCAGTGTTCCAGGACGTGGTGGGTTTTCGCCTGGCAAGCGTTCTGTCTACAAAAAGCTGCAAAGGTCTGCTTAACAACACGGTGACGTGGCGGAGATGCCTTGTCGATAAATAAAGCCACTACCTCCTGCCTTTCCGGAGGATCTCACACCATTCAAGAAGATCTGACACTTCGAAGATTTTATTTAACCCCTTGTTAACTCGGCCAATTCACCGAACACAATCACTAATTCAACACAACCGTAAAATATTCACGCAACATGATAACTCACCCAAACACTTACATATATGCATACAACATATCTCCCGTATGTACCGGTTAAATGGTGACATTAGTGTTCAATGACTGATCATACCCGTCTGTATTACTGTGATCACACATTTTTAGGCGTGTACCGTACTGTCGATAATAAACGATTTATTTATTTATTTATGTATATAATTCTTAATTCATCAAAAGTAAAACTTGATGTGGCCTTAGAGTTAATTTGAACACTATATCGTCAATACACACGAATGCTTTCAACTTACTGTTCAAGCAAGTATTCACAAACCTCGGTGTGGCCACTGGTGGCCGCCGCATGTAGGGGAGTCCAGAGGTCTGCGTCTCTGCAATTCACATCAGCCCCATGTTGAATTAGTAAGGCGCACATCTCAACGCTGTTATTGATGCAGGCCTGTGGGTAAAGTTGGCAGTTACGATAAGCATTTCAGCTAAGTGCTTCAGTATGAAATAACGATGGAAGTAATCGTGACAATGTGGAAAGGACATAAATTTTTTTTCCTTCCTTAAAACAATGTTGTTTTGGAGACCATTTTGAATTTCTATACCGCTTAGCGGCAATAAGCCTTAATGAATGCCACTATACCATAGTCTTGTCAATGGTCTTCAGAACTGTGTTTATGCGGTTTTAAAATAATTCAATGCTATTGTGCGCTAGCGCAAGACATTTGCATACGCAAAATGCTGTGTTTATTACAGTGCATGACACAAGCAAGTTGGAAATATCCGTGAACTAGGAAGCACTGCTTTGAACTACTGACAAAGTATAACAAAGAAGTGTAGATTTGAAATTTGCTAGGACCTCAAAAATATAAGGTGTAAACTCGGCCAACACTTTATGACAGAATCTTGGGGGATACTGTTGAATGACACATAGAAAGCAAATACATCCTCAATTTAGAACCCGCAGAAGCCTGTGCCTACTGGTTAGTTCTCCGGCCTGCCCTTAGCTATAAATAGGCAAACGACGTTTATGATCGATTTGGGTTGACATTCTCTTCAACTCGAATCAAGTCAAGTCAACCAAACGCTTTATTCACCTAGAACGGGTGAATATTTAGCTCCTAAGTTAAGCGTTTACTCTCATCTCCTACTAAATTTCGTAGTATTTAGTCATAGTCTCAGGAATGATCACTTTGTGCACATTTTTAAATCAGGCTGTGTACAACTTTTAAGCGAAATTGTGACTTACTTGATGCAGCGGAGTCAATCCATCATCTTTGCATACGTTCGGATCCATATTCTGCTCCAAAAGTTGTCTAACTGAGGGAAGGCAAAAGCACTACTGATTGGTTTCTTTCAGAAAACTTAACCTGAATCTTACGGTTACTTTGTAAAGTGTACATTGGGCATGCTGCTCAAGACACTTGACATGTTTTACTACACTTACTACGTAGTGACACATTTGCTTGGGCTTATGTTAAAAAGATATAACAAGAAACTAATTAATTATACATATTTTATATTTGGGCTTGACAATAAACCACTCAAAGGCAACTGACACCTACTCAGTCAGAAGTGAAAAATGTTATTGGATTGAATCTACTTCCAAGATTAAACACTGATAAAGTTATCTGCTCGATAGTTTTGAGTTATTTGATGGGACTGGACATGTATGTATGTGCTGTAGGATGGAGTATCATAACAAAACAAAATGAACTTTGCCGTGAATTTTGTCAAATAACTCGAAACTGATGTAATATTTGCATGTATATGTTGGATGGCACTGGTTGTTTGTTAGCTAAAAAATGCAGGCTGAAAAACCTTGTTCAAAAGCGCATAAAGATGTCTTGTGAAGCCTATGTCTTAGTACTTTCCTCATTTTGTGTTTTCTAAGCCCACCGAGATATTAAACGAGTTTCAATTATGTCATGAGATAGTAACAGAAATGCAGCACGGGACGGGTCTAACTAATTGAATGCCTGACAATTTCGTTGAGGGCGAATCGAAGGCCCATCTACCAGAGATCGTTTGTTTACGCTGCGCACACACGCCTTAGAAATCAAAGGTAATAAACTTTTCAATTATTCCCACAACCAAACTATTTGTTTGGTAATTTCTAAGCGTCTTTTTGCGCGCCAATGTTGTTCAACATTGCTGATCCACATAAGAAAAGCTTCGATCGTTTTAATCATTAAATAAACGTTTGATTTCCTCCAGCAAGACATGATGAATTAGGGTATCGCTTTTCTGTGCAACCACACAGTAAACAAGCAAAGGAACACTGGTACGTCCGTGATATAAACTTAAGGCAGCTGACTGTTTAGATGTCGCTACGAATGAATTTTCAAAAATCTACTTTCACCTAAATTCTCTCTAATTTACTAGGACATAATGCAGAAATGGAAAAAGATAAGATAGATTAAGCCAAAACTGCCATGATATGAGCAACAGCAAAATAAAAAGAGGAACCACAAATGGTAAAGTCATAATTATGCGAAAAGTATGACTTGTTCAAAACTGTAACGTCTTTGTCGGATATCTTACAAAGTTTATTGACCTAGATACGTCAAGTTAGGAAATTGATTAGTGCAGAACGAATTACTGACAGAATCTTTTCTTGTGATTTCCCAAGGGTGTCAAAGGAAACCGGCCAAAACTCGCTAACCAACTGTGCTTTTTCAGTTACGTATAAACCTGACCGATCACTGTGTGCGCCTGATTCCTCAAATACAGCGTGCTTGTGTTTGTCTGTGAAGAAGTGCGGGCCGGCTCCTTTGATGAAACGTGGCTCCCATCCACATGACTCCCGGTCTTATTCCTTCGGGTTTACGGTGGATATGGGGTTTGTGGTTAGAGCTGTGGGTGGTGCAGCGCAAGCCACCCATGGTCCCTCTGTAGGCGCAGGCGTCCTGTGGCTGGCCACACTGACAGGCAAATCCGAAACCGGATGCCGCCAACCATGGTTTGTATGACACTTAACTCGTTTTAGGTGTCTGAGTTTGGTTATGACGCTCATCATAACACAAGATGAGTTCCATTGGTCTTGGTTGTCAGAAAATTACTCCTTAACGTAATGGCGGAAGATTCGGGGCATTTAGGCACACAACCATCCTGGCGACACAGTTGGACTCCTTATTGTTGAACTGCAAGCTCGGGTGCTCTTTTCTTTTGACCTGCTGTTAAATAATAATTATCCACTATGTCTCTCTATTCATCTAAACGGGGTTTATGCAAGAAGACACCGACTGCATGGTCTCCCGGCTAAGATTTGCAGTAATCTCTGCGTATTTGACTTATGACCCATTTTGCATTTTGCTTTTTGCATTTTGCTTTTGCAGTTTGCATTTTGCTTGACAATGTTTATATACCCTGCAGCTGCAGCGGGCTGGTGTTCAGCTGCTTCGTCCTTGTCTCTAACAGAAGTTGCCAAGGCCGTTGGAATTTGATTACACGAGTTTCGTGTGGTGCCTGTCTTTCATGGTCATAAATACAGCCTGCAGCTAAAGTCAACTTTTTCCTGACATTCAGAAAGCGTTGGAGTAAAAAACGTTTGTAGGTTCAGAGCAAGTAGATTGTGCACCATCCCCTTTTCCGGATGGGTTAACAGCAGTGTCGATCCGGAAAACGCACTAGATTTACCAATTTTTCTTATTTTCCTAAACGATACACTTTGTTACATAAGGCATAGAGGCGCATTCTTTAAGTCAAAGCAAGTCACAATAAACGTTATACGCACCTGTGGGTCTATTTTTGTCAGTGGTTAACGCCGCTTAGTTCTCCAACATTATAGTATTGAGAACAGTTTTTAACAAAAGAGATGAAAGTGAAATAACGGATTTCCTCTCATGGCTACGGTAATGCAACAGACGCTTCTTTTTTTACGCCGCCTAATAATCGCAACGAATGCGCTAAAACACAGCTCCAATATAGCCATGTATTGCACGGAAAGGCCTCTAATTTCCAACTGAAAATCCGGATCTATGCAGAAATAAGTTATACTGAGATCCATCACCCTTAACCGATGAAGTAAAAGCAAGTCTACTAAGATACCGGCCAAAAATGCCTCAATGACCGTTTTAGCAACTGTTTACCAGTAGGCTACAACGGTATTACTGATACTGTCCTTCCAAGCGCATAATATGCAGTACCCTAACAGCTTGAACGGTTTTAACAATTGCCTAAGCCTAAAGAGCAAGCGGTAAAACTTTCTTTGCATTATTAAGTCATTTTTACGATCACGAAAGCGGCCAACGTCATTTAAACACATAGTACGATCTACTGTAGCGTACACTACTAGCGTGCAAGATCACATATGCAAAGCAGATAGAATTGCTTTGGAAACATTCCGGCACTCTTTCACCAACATTCTCTTGGAGGAGTTGTCAAAGCTTAAATATACGGAACGATATCACTACTTCCAGCTCAACCCACTATGGCTTAAAAGACTGAGCAGCAACCTCAGTTTTCTCTACAGTAATACACATTACGAAATCTTTGCAACCAGTAGGACTGTCATTTAATAAATTAGCTCAGTCCATTTAAATCGTAATAATAAGTGCCTACTATCCTTAAAGACTAAATTTGCACTATACGCATCGATAAGTAGCAGTCTGGAGATTCCCCGTTTCGCCTGTGTAAAATGCTAACGAAAATTATTTCATCGTACACCTACGCGACCGCTGTGGTTTGTTGAACTGATTGCTGAGTTCGAATGCTTTACGTGCTCATCGTCATTTTTGCTTGGCGCTCGTTTCGGCTGCAACTCGCGACTGCCCTGTGCGCTGTGCATCCTACGTTCCGGTAGCTAGCGTGTCAACTGTGTCGCCTTTTTATAGCTAGGTAACCGGGAAATCATTTACTGTAACAATAAACTATTCCCTGCAACCCGATCTGTCATTTCAATTCGCTCTGCGGGCTCCCGCTACAGGCTACTCGCTAAATTTGTGACCCCGACTCTGGAAGAATCTCAGCGCCAGATAGTACGAGCCTTTCTCCGGTGAACCCATGCCATTTACTTTTCAAATCTTTCTGTTTATTTTTGCATTCGGTAGTCTACTTTTGCGTCATTTTTGAACTATAGCCTCTATAGACCCTAAGGTAGCGTCTCTCCTTAGCGTTGTATCTCTCTGTGCCACCTTTTTGGAACGTAGATCCTCTTTTGTGATTCGATCATCTTGAGGCTGAGTTTTATAACTACGGAATCACTTCGAACTACGCAAAGTATAGCAGTCTCATGTCCTATCTCCGCAAATGCAGGTTCGAGACGTGCTGGTTTCTCAGACCGAAAACTGCCATGAGGCTCCCAAGGAGGCCAGGATTAAGCGTGTCATGCCCTCTGAGAAAGTTCGCCTGCAGCAGTTTTCATAGATCTGCAGCTGCGCGACAAACTGCCCTAAACCCTCCTACGGGAGATGCAGCAACTCCTTGGTTCCTCAACCATGGACGAGACTTTACTTCGCCGGCTATGGCTACAGCAGCTATATAAAAACACGCAAGCAATGCTTGCTATCGTGAGCTCCGTTTCGCTCACTCAACTAAAAGATGTAGCGGATCGAGTCATAGACCCATCACAGCCACAAAGCGATGCCAGCATGATCAGTACCGTCACGTCCCAGGGCACTTCTAACAGGCTTACAGTCAACCATAGAAGCCCTGCAAACACAAGCTGCACTATGAACCGTCGTCGTCATAGCCTATCAAAATCGCCCTTCAAACGGTTCAAGTCCAGCAACAGGCAAGCTTGCTTTTGGTAGCATCAGCGCTTTGGTACCGCAACTCCTAAATGTAGCAAGCACTGAAACTTCGCCGAGTAGCAGGGACTACTCGGCCGGACCGTAACGGCGACGGACGCGACCAGCCAACACTAAAGTTGTCTCATCCGCGTTAAGGATTTAACTTTCTGCACCGAGTTCCTAGTCGCAACAGGAGCCGAAGTTGTCGTTATACCCCGTAGCTCAAATGATGTCACCTCATCTTTGCTGAACAAGATATGTGCCGTCAATGACACACAAATCGCAACTTTCGGCCAAAGGCTGCTAACGCACAATTTAGGTCTCCGGCGAACCTTTCGCCGGGCTTTCTTTATAGCAGCCGCGCTTTTCGTCATCTTAGACGTAGACTCCCTTCAACGCTTTGACCTTATCGTCCAAGCTAAAAGGAAAAGTTTATCGACTCTAGGACACATCTTAGTGTTATCGGAACTAGTGCCAACGTGGCTGCTATGACACCCATTCGTGTCCTGTCTCAAGCTTCACAGCCTTTTATAGACCATTTCAACAAGCATCCTAAGCTCGTTCGCGTTCCAAACGACTTGCCTCCTG